AGAGTAATATCCGATACAATAGTCTGAAGAAAAACATAAATGATGTAAAATCGGGGAGACAAGGGGCTGCGGACGTCAACAGCTACCTCATAGCTCCAAATCACTGTCTGGTCTGGAAAGAATCAGCGCTCAGGAGCGGACTCTGCTATGCCTGAATCTGCACACATGGTGCAGGGAGTAATGTGAGTACTCCGACCCAGTGAGTAATAATAATAAATAATAACTGAAGGCATGAAAACACATAAGTGCACAAGGCAATTCTATATCAGGCAGTAAATCACTTAAAGCAGTAAAACAGTAAAGGTCAGATGAGATCTCCTTTTAAAAACAGGTAAATCAGATAAAACAACAAGTAAATAGTGAGTAGAAATCTGCCCCTCGGGCCCAGTATCAATCGCTCAGAACAGTATCAGTCCATCGGGCTCAGTATCAGTCACTCAGCATAATATCAGCCCCTCGGGCTCACTCTCAGATCATGTGGGTACCCGCGCTCATTGTGGGTGTGCAGACTCCAGAGTGGCCCCTTACGGCCCAAGCGCTATATCAACATAAGGCCTGAAAGCCTTCTCATATCATTCATAAGGCCTGAAAGCCTCCTCACATCACTCACAAGGCCTGAAAGCCTCCTCACATCACTCACAAGGCCTGAAAGCCTCCTCACATATGGCCCTCAACCTCACTCAGTCCAGAAAACATCATATGCCCCTCAGGCATCAATAAAATAGTAGTGCTCAGCCCAAACAACAGTGGAAATATCATTTAAGTCTCAAAGTTCAATTAAAGCAGCTGAGTTTGTAAAACAGTATAATCAACAGGACTGAGTGCAAGTGGTATATCCAAAATAGTGAGGAAATAGTGATAAAAATCCACGAAGGATTCAAGTAGTCGGCATGAAGCCCAAAATATGGCAATAGGCCCAGATCATGTTGATAACAAATACATTTCAGTCAAATACGCGGTAAAAATATCGATCGGGACGAACCAAGTCACAATCCCCAGTAGTAAACAACCCCGCGCTCGTCATGAAGCGCGTGTTTCACCTCAATATAGCCCTACGTTGTGCAAATCCGGGGTTTCAAACCCCCAGGATATCATTTACTATCATTACTCACCTCAAGCCGGCCAAAATCCTAGCTCGCTATGCCCTTGCCTCTCAAATCGGCCTCCTCGCCCGTCGAATCTGATCAAAACCGCAACGAATACATCACAATAGGCTAAGGGAACATAACCCAATCGAAAAGAATCGAAAAAACATCGAAAATCACGAAATTTACAAAACCCGAGCCCCGGGCCCACTTCTCGAATTCCAAAAATTTTTATATCAACGGATTCCTTATCTCGCCACGAGTCTATACATACCAAAAACTCCCAAATCCGAGCTCAAATGACCCATCAAAACCCACTTTGAAATATCAAAATCCAAGCCCTAGCTTTTCCCCCTTTTTGATTAATTTTCATAAATTTCTATGTTGATTCTACCATTAAATCATGTATTTAGGTCATAGGACTCACCTCCAATCAACCCCAGTCGAATCCCTCTTCAAATCCCGTCCAAAAGCTCTCAAGGATGTTCAAAAATGGTGAAAAAATACCTTAGACTCGCGGAGGAAATGTTATTAAAACCATTTTGCCCAGGTGATAATTTCTTCAATGCGAACGCGAGGGCCTTCTCGCGTTCGCGATGCTCAAATTTCCATTTGCCCAAAAATGCCCTTCGCGAACGCGGTCACCACCCCGCGAACGCGAAGCTTCTTCACAGGCCAATACGCGAACGCGACTGAACATATGCGAACGCGAAGACTAAAAATCCCTGAACCTCAAATCTTATACGCGTTCGCGGCTTCTGCCACGCGAACGCGATGCACAATCAGCTAGCCCTCCGTGAACGCGGACCCACACACGCGAACGCGAAGAGTAATTCACCTGCCTCCCAAATTCCTTCTTCGCGAACGCGTGGCTCTTTACGCGAACGCGAAGGGTGAATTCTCTGCAACAAATAGCTGGAAAAACCTGCAACATTCAAAGGCCGAAATTGGTCCAATTGACCATCCGAAATCACCTCCAGGCCCCCGGACCTCAACCAAAAGCACCAACACATCCTAAAACATCATTCAAACTTGTTCCAATCATAAAAACACCTCAAACAACATTAAACCATCATTTCACATCGAATTCAAGCCTAAGTTCTTCAAAAACTTCCGAAATACGCATTCGATCAAAAACTCAACCAAATTACCTCCGAATGACATGAAATTTTGCACACACATCCCAAATCACATAACAAAACTACAGCAACTCTCTGAATTCTATTCCGACTCTCGGATCAAAATCTCACCTATCAATCAGAATTCGCCAAAATACTAACTTCGCCAATTCAAGCCTAATTCTACACCGGACCTCCAAAATCACTTCCGATCGCCCTCCTAAGTCACAAATCATCCCCCGGAGCTAACCGAATCATCGGAATTCACATCCGAGCCCTCTAAAACATAAGTCAACATCCGGTTGACTTTTCCAAACCAAACCTTCCCTAAAGAGACTACGTGTCTCATTTCCTTCTAAAACCAATCCAAATCAACTCGTTCACACAAGACTCTTATAATGAAGCATGAAGAAGAAGAAAATGGAGGAAACAGGGCGGTAACTCACGTGACGACGGGTCGGGTCGTCACATAATATTTCACATAACAAGCAAGACATCCTAAGATATAAAGTACCTTTCTTAACGTTTTTTAAAATATAGTACTAAAAATTTGCTCAGCCACATCGATATCTAAGAGGAACCGAGATAACTTTGAAATATCAAATTTTTGGTATGCACAATAGAGTTACCCCAAAATAGTATGGTATAAATTTTTAAGATAACCATTGACACTCCTAATAGTGGGGGAAATTTTTGCAAACTTTTCATTGTCCCCAAATTCAATTACTTTTTTTTTTCCAGGGAAAACAAATCCCCAAATTCAATTACAACCAAGCATAAATACAACATTCACTACAAAAAAATGGGTAAATTGCGGAGGTTTATTTGCGGAGGGTATGAGTAACCTCCGTAATTTGCATAAATTTGCGGCAATTGGCTATCCCCCACAAAATTATAACAATTTAAGGGGGTTATAAATTGAGAAATTTTCATAAAGCACTATCTTTTAGTGGTAATTAGCTATCTATATAGATACCATTTGCTATATTACGAATTGTAGATACGTTTTCTGTCGTTATAAGATGTATTTGATGTATTTAAGCTACTATATTCATGAATACAGTAGCAAAAGTCGGCGCGAAACATGGGGCTACAGCTGGATGACGAATGTATGTGGGTGTATGTGACTGTATTCGACTGTATGTCGTAACGTAAACTGCGCAATTCCAGGTCTATTCAGATTTTTTTAACGGAAAGTGTATAAATTAACATAATAGACTCCTAATATAACTCAATTAACCCAATTACATCACCCATAATCATTTTTTTACGCGAATAATCTGATTTTTTTTCCTAAAACGTTATATACATCAAAACATAGCATTCACCGATAGTCAGTTTCTTCCCTTTTCTCGTTTTTTTTCTTTTTTCGTGTGTGCTTCTGTGTTCAACAAATAAAACAGAGAACTGATAAATTCATATACAGAAATCGGTCAACCAATGATACATGTTGGCTTTTTTTCGCGAATATATTCTGCATATATTTAGTTGGCATATTAAATCTGAATACATAATTACAACACGACTATTATATTAATTCATGATCACTGAATACAGATATGAATAAATAGATTAGTTGGTATATGATCTCTGAATATTAAATACATGTATTCGAATACGATATGATTGTATTGTAAAAAGATGTAATATTTCATTCATCAGAACTGATTCTTTTTTCCGAATACATATAAATACAACTAAAAAAAAAAAGACTTTTGTATCAGGGATTGTATATGATCTCTTAATATTGAATACATGTATTCAAATACTCCTGAATACATATTAATACAATCTGTTATATACATATGAAGGTCTAAATATGTATTGTATAAAGGTCTCATAGACTCTTAATATATGTAAATACATCTAAATATATATATGAAGACAACCTGTAAAATATATATGAATAAAACCTGTGGAAAATATGTGAATATAACCTGGTGAATACAGATAAATACAACCTAATGAATATAGATACATACAACCTGTTGAAATATAGATGAATACAACCTGTTAAATTAATATTAATGCAAGATGTTGAATCCATAAGAGTGCGAGATGTTGAATACAGATTAATACAATATGTTGAATACATATGAATACAACTGGGACTTCTTTCGATTTGTCATTGTGTAATTTAGTTCTTCTCTCTGAAGTTGTAGTTGCTGATACACCTGAATATTCCGACTCCGCTTGAGTAATTTGCAAAGAGAAAGAGGGCCCATCGAAATTGAGTATTTTGGTGGGTATACATCTGGTTACCATCTTGTGTGACATTGAATCCGACATTGGAAAGAAAAACGATAGCTTTCTGTTGAATAAACAATAACAATGGTTATTGTTTCAGAAGCAAACAAAAATCTGTATCCAAATCTAAGAAGCTAAATACTTGTATCAAAATCTAAGAAGCTAAATACTTACCACAAGAACTTGTATCAGAAAATAAAACCGAGATTTTAGAGAGAAATTAACTGGGGAGTGAGAACGAGGGAGACCTAGGCAATGTGGGTGGGAGAAGAAATCTGAATCATGGTTTTGTGGGAGAAGAGAGTAAAGTGTATCAAAGAGAGAGAGAACGTGGTTTGTGAATTTTAACGTGATTATGTGAGAAAATCTGAAAAAGGAGAGAGAGAAATAAGAATTAGCGTATATGGTGGCTTAAGGGTAGGATGTAACCTTAATTAGATATTTTGCTATAAAGGGTAAAAGGTAGCTATATAATATAATTTTTTAAAATGATATTTATTTAAAATAAATAGGTTATTAAGCTTTTGTGTAAAAATTCCTAAAAGAAATTTCTGCCTTTCACACTTCTGACTAATAGACTCTCTCTCTCTTTCTGCAGGGAACCACAATCTCTTCAAACTGAAATTCTCTCTCTACAGGTATTTTGATTTTGGATATATTGTTAAGTTGTCTATCTACGGGTACCATTTCACCCATTTGATGAACAAGATATTCGTTCAGCCATTGTGGTATTTTAGGAACAAGATATTTTTACCAGTTGAAATCAATTCACGTTGGTTGTGGGATTAACAGGAGGTTTAAGCTTTCTACCAACTGTTTGTTCCCCAATTACTACTTCTTATGTTAGATGCTTTTTGATTTGTACCAGATTTTTTCTTTCTTCATTGTTAATTGAAGTATTTTTTTAATAGTTGTGGAAATTTTCGAAAATTTATATGCACTAGAAACGTTTTACTTTTTTGCTTGTTCTTCACTGAAAAATTGGTTAACTTTGCTTATGTTCTAAGGATTTGAAGTCTGTAATTTTTTTTCTTTACTTTTGGAGTGTTGCACAAGAGTTGCTCCGTATTTGTTGATTGCAGATATGCCGAAAACCAAACGTTTCCAGAACCTGAAAATTATAAGTCAGTCCAATCAGCGCCCCCTTCACAACCTATTGATGCGACACAAGATATGACATCACAATTGGGTCCTTCATTCCCGACTACATTGCAGCCGACTCCTTCTTTACAAGCCACAAGACAGCAAACTCTTTCATTTCAGGCCACGGGGCGGACAACTCCTTCCATTCAGACGACTCTTTCATTTCAGGCGACATCACTACCAACTCCTTCATTTCAAGTCACAAGACAGCAAACCGCTTCATTTCAGGCCACAACACTGTCAACTCCTTCATTTCAAGCCACAAGACAGCAAACGTTTTCATTTCAAGCCACGGAACAGACAACTCCTTCCACTCAGCCGACTCCTTCGTTTCAGGCGACGTCACTACCAACTCCTTCATTCCAACCTCCTGTTAATCCCACACCACCATAAGCAACATCCAATAAATGTGCTAAACGTGAGTCTTCACATCATTGGACTGTCAATGGAATAGGTAATCATTATCCTTTCGTTATAATTTCTGCCGTTGATGTATAGGACATTAAAGTATAACCGAAATGTATTACTTTGTAGTCTTCAATTAGCAGTAACGAGCAAAATGTGAGGCAGGCTAAAGTTGTTACTCTTTGTTTTCCCTCTCATCTCCTCTTCTTTCTTCCTCTGTTCTACTCATCCCTCTCATCCCTTTGTGTGAATCAGATCGTTACATTGGTGCTTTTACTAAGGGTCGGACTGGCTTGAAACCAGCTCATTGTTTTATCTATTTTATGAAGTTCTGCAATATTTGTGAGTGCATTCTTTTGGTTTTTTTGAAGGTATTTATTTTTGTTCGTGACATTTACAATGTTTTCATTCCTTCTCTCTTACAGTGGCTTAAAAGGCGAACACTGTCCCATGAAATGTGCCGAAATGATTTTGACAATCTTGTGAATCTTAACCTGTTCATTTTTTGTGAGATCACTGTTAGGTTGAACTTTGAGGGTTTCATGCTTTCTTAGTTTTTTTATGTCTTGCTATTGGCCAGTTCCAATAGCAAGACATATAGAAGTTTTTGTTGAGTATGAGATGGCTACAAGGTGTTTGTAGTATTTTCTTGCAATACATATAGAAGTTTCTTTACAAAACAATACAACCAACATACAGCACATTTCAGTAATACATGAGAAAATTGTAGTATTATCAATTATGGTCTTACTAATCCTTAAAGCTTTTATTAATTAATATCAAGATCTCTGACTCGAAAGTTTTATCTTCTCTGAACCATGTAGTAAGCTATCTGTTAATATCAACTAATGCTGAGTTTCATTGTTTTTTTATATTACAGATTCACAAGGAGATACCAAAAGGCTCACTTCCTTTATCTTACTTTACTATTTAATTTTAGATTATGTATCTATTTCTTCTACTGTAGTTAATCTATTCTTAATTTTTTTTCCATACATAGATGGCTGAGACAGGGAGAAAGCCTGGACGAGCACAACTTTATCTTGCTACACATACGAACAAAGATGGATCATATGTGAATGAGGAGGCAAAAGAAATATGTGTAAGTTATATACTGTCACCAATGCTACTGATTACTATGGAGTGGTTTGTGTATAGTTCGATGAGCTATTAACTATCACCAGTGCTACTGATTGCAACATGCCTAATGTGCTTGTTATTATTTCCTTTCTGAAGTACCTTTCTCACTAGCCACCATGCGATTGGAGACCTAGCACAGAACGATAAATATTATAATGAGGTCCACAAATAGGATATCTAGAAAACTTACTGCCTATAGTGAAAGTTGAATGAAAATACTCTGTTACAGAGAAGTTCGGGTGGACAATATAGGATTATATGAATTTAACTAGAATATACTTGTTGAGTGTAAATTAAAATTTGTGGATTGATACAAAACTGAAGTGCCTTATAGAAGATCTAACCCATTAATAGGTTCATATAGTAAGTATATTACAACACGATGCGTTCAAAATTCTGGCTTATGTGTCTCTAGAAGTTTTGGTGTGGATTTTGTATTTTTTTGGTTAGATATTGTTTGACAATCATTAGTTGAGGGTCCTCTTGTAATTCTTTAACAATCAACAAGAAATTCATTTGAAGGTCCTCTTGTAATTCTCTAATACACCACCAGCACTTACTACTGGTACTTGTGTATTTATCATGGCTCATTTGGTGATCTAAGGATGTGTGGAAGATTTAAAAAATTAAGCGCAAATGTATCTGATTTCCTTACTTTGCCAGATGCTCAATTTATAATGTTGGCTCAATTTTTTTTGATTATGTGCATTGTGTTTAGGAAAAATTTGAGCTAGCAGTGAGCGAAAATATAGTGGATGAGTCTGAAATTTCTCCAACTGATGCTGTTGGTAAGGTGCTAGGCAAAGAGCTTTATATTCTAACAACTTTCATTCCTCGAACTACCAATTATTTGGCTTTTTTGACTAAATGTTTAACAACAACACTTAAAAAAACGAGGTTTATCTACCATTTTATCCACTTGATTTGTCATAGAATTAAAATCTTATTTAATCTGTCATTTAATAATCAGAATATATCGGAGTACCATGATGGATTAATTAAGAAAGATTTAATGTATTTTAAAGCAAGCTTTTGCTTCCCATCATTTATATTGTATTCTTTCACAGAATATGCAATTATCTCCAAAATAGACATGGGATGTGAAAGTATTTTCTTGTGAACTTAAAATTCATAGTTTGTTTTTATAAGGACGCGAAAATAGTGGACTCAATCCTGGAGAGATACAAGGACAACAAAATCCCTATTGAAAAGTTTGAATATTCAAAGTGTTTAGAATCTTATTCTTGTGAAATTTTCATTCTGATTGATAAGTGGCACGACATTGCAATTCAGAATAGTGTAAAACATCTATCATATATAGAACTTTTATCACATCCCTTGCCTATTTTCACAATCTTGGCATCAAAATATTTATGAGAATTGGTTCTAGAGGGTTGTGATATAATGAATGTTTCTTTATCTGGTGGTGTGGCGAACTGTCATTTTTTGGATAAGCTTTCTCTATCTTATCTAAGTTTAGACGAAAACTTCTTCAGACTCTACTTAATAGCAGTCCCTGTTAATAATATGTATTCAAACCAGAAAATCAGAAGTTGTTAGTTTCAGGAACAAAAAACAGAAAATTCCAAGCCCATAAGTTCCTTGTGTGTCCTTAAGGAATTTAATTCTCTCACAGTTGCACAAGGTTTCGGATTAATTTCAGGATAGAACGGAATAACTATTCTGTGATAGCGGCACTTCAAATCACAGAAGTTCGGCGAACTCAAATGGTGGAGCAAATCACACTAAATGCTTACGTTTTTGCTTTGTAAATTAAAAATGATGCAGAATGCAAATGATAGAGGGGAGAGATTTTCAGATTCAGTGGTGAAGTATGTTAAAATAGAGTATACCAACGATTAGATGTAGTTATAGTATGGTATAAACCAATGAACTCTGTTTTACTTCTTCTGAGATGCCAGCACTTGGCATGGAATATGCAAATTTATGGACAAATGACAGCTTTTGTTTCACCGTCATGTACTTGTGCTAACATCCGTTTCATTACAATTTTCCTCAACATTTTAGACCATGGGGTTTCTCAGAATATTCGCCAGAGTAAGGTTAGTCTGATAGTGTTTTGTTTTAGACTGCTAGTGGTTGTTAGTGTGAAGAGAAGATATCTTATAAATCCACTAACTTGCCAATTCATGAGAATGTTATATAATTTTGCAATTGTTTCTATTTGAAAATTACATATAGTTCAAAAGATAGACATTGGATGTCTTTTGTTATGATAGACTGGGGCTCTCATGGTGGCCTTCGATCCGTGGTAAGTTTTGATATTTTTTCCTAATTTCTTTAGTATTTTTAGGGCTTATTATATTTGTCAAATTCTTTGCCTGATTTGAATTTCTCTTCAAGATGTGGAATGAGGGACTCGCTATCTCTATAGCACCCCCAAACATTTGATAAAGTCCCACATTGGCAAAATACAAGAGAGATGCTGGGTATATAAGTTAACAAGACTTAGACCTAGTGACGCGTTTTAAACCTGTAGGGCCTAGGCCCAGACTGCACAATATCACTAGCGGGCTGGGCTGTTACAAACTCATCATGCTACTTATCCAATTTTTGGTTGTCAAAGGTTTTTAAGTAGAATGTCTACTGAATCACAAAGAGACTGTGTGACATCTGTTGTCACGACCCGGATTTTCCACCCTCAGGGGTCGTGATGGCGTCTACTCGTAGAAGCTAGGCAAGCCACAAATCATAAACTCCTAATTCCTTTATTTTAAATCCTTTATATCATTCAAAACAACAAGCGATAAATATTTAAATAACAGCGGAATGTGAAATTAAAGCGGAAGACTTAAGTATAAGCCGAACAAAATGCGGAAATCAACATGTGCTTCTACCTAATAACTGCTGTCACAACATCCATGGGCTACTAAGAGTACTAAATACAATCCTTTGAAAGAAAAATAACACTGTTTGTCTCGAAAACATGAGATAACAGAATGAAATATAAGATAGAGGAGACGCCGGGCCTGCGGACGCATGCAAGGCTACCTCGCAGTCTCGGTGGACAAAAGGGTGGCTCCCGAACTACTGCTGCGCACCGTATGCTGCTTCGGTACCTGGATCTGTGCAAAAGAGCACAGAGTGTAGTATCAGCACAACCAACCCCATGTGCTGGTAAGTGCCTAGCCTAACCCCGGCGAAGTAGTGACGAGGCTAGGACTAGACCCCAGATAAACCTGTGCAGATATATATAATATATTGCAGAAAAATAAACAAGTTATGAGCAGTTAAAAGGGAGGGGGTACATGCCTCGGGGAAACAGTTCAACATAACAGAAACTAAATAAATATGAAGGAACAGTACGGTATCCAAAACATTATAATAACACTACTGTTGCAGCGCGCAACCCGATCCATATGTATTTATATATAACCATTGCGGCGTGCAACCCGATCCAATAAATATAATATATCTGTTGCGGCGTGCAACCCGATCCAATATAATATATGTTGCGGCGCGCAACCCGTTCCAAGTATACAACTTACAGTAATCATAACAAAAATTCCGGCAAGGGATTAACCATAATTTACTCTATCCCCGCAAGGGAACTCAACAGTACAAGTATACTCGTCCCGGCAAGGGAGAACCAGCTATAACCAATCTCAATTCAACTTCTAAACATCTCCATAATCACCATTTCTAACTCATAAATAACTTCTATGAAAATAATCCAAGTCTTTGCTCAATACCACGGATCTTCTCACAATTAGCAACCATAGTATTATTCAAGAATACAACAAATATCAATTTAAGACTCACGATCATGCTCGACACCGACGTATAGATACTCGTCACCATGCCTATACGTCGTACTCCACAAGAAAACACATAGCAAATATGACTCAACTCCTAATCCCTCAAGCTAAGGTTAGACCAAACACTTACCTCGATGCGTTGAACACAACTCAAGCTTCAATTATAGCTTTACCCCTTGATTCCACCGCCAATTCGCTCGTATCTAATCACAAATTACTTAATTACATTAATAAACACTAAATGAATCAACCTCAATGCATGAAAATGAGTTTCCCAAAGTTTTACCCAAAAACTCAAAAATCCCCAGCGGGCCCACATGGTCAAAACCCGAGGTTCGAACCGAAACCCGATTACCATTCCCCCACGAATTCAAATATATAATTTGTTTTGAAATCGGACCTCAAATTGAGGTCCAAATCCCCAATTTTTGAAAAACCTAGGTTCTACCCAAAACACCCAATTTCCCCCATGAAAATCTTTGATTTTAGGTTGAAATCATGTTAAAAGTTGTTAATGATTGAAGGAAATGAGTAAAAACTAACTTACAATCGATTTGGAAGAATGTTTGTTCTTGGAAAATCGCCCAAAGGAGTTTGTGTTTTGAAAAGATGTTAAAAATGGTTCAAAATCGGCTAAGTATAAAAAAAATGCAGGTCTCAGTTATGGGAAATGCGAACAGGGGTTCGCAATTGCGAACCCCGACACGCTGATGTGGGAATTGCGAAAATAATGTTTGCATTTGCGAACACTGACGAAGTCCAGGACTTTCGCATTTGGGAAACTTGCATCGCATTTGCGATAAGTCAGCCTCCCAGCCATCATCGCATTTGCGATGATGAAGTCGCATTTGCGACTAAGGCTGCCATTCCTCATATTCGCCTTTGCGATTAAATTTGTCGCATTTGCGGGCTCGCAATTGCGAGCCTGGCTTCGCAAAAGCGAAGCCTGCATGTCAGTTCATACCGGCAAATTTTAAGTTCAAAAATGCAACCCGTGGCCTATCCAAAACTCACCCGAGCCCTAGGGGCTCCAAACCAAATATACACACAACCTCAATAACATCCTACGGACTTAATCTTGCGATCAAATCGCCAAAATAACATCATAAACATCGAATTAAACCTCAAAATCCATAAATTCTTTCAATCTTCATAAAACATCAAATTTTCCAATTTAGGTCCGAATCACGTCAAACGACGTCCGTTTTCAACCAAATTTTACAGGAATGACTTAAACCATATATAAGACCTGTACCGGGCGCCGGAACCAAAATACGGACCCGATACCAACACGTTCTAATCAATTTTCACTTCAAATTTCCATAAACCATTTCAGAAAACAATTTTACAAAAAAATTCATTTCTCGGGCTTGGGACCTTGTAATTAGATTCCGGTAATACGCCCAAGTCCCATATTTTCCTACGGACCCTCCGGGACAGTCAAATCACGGGTCCGGGTCCGTTTGCCCAAAATATTGACCAAAGTCAAATTTATTCATTTTAACATCAAAACTTAGCATTTTCACAGAATTTCATATTTAAGCTTTCCGGCTACGCGCCCGGACTGCTTACGCAAATTGAGGCAACTCTAAATGAGGTTTTCAAGGCCTTGGGGACACAGAAGTCAATTAAGAACAGGTGATGACCCTTTGGGTCGTCACATCTGTTTTTTTTTTTTCTTATTCTGTTTTGATGAAAAGAAAAAATGCATTAAATTGGAAGAAAAAAGTATAAAAGAAAATGGTAAAAATGTTAAGGAAAAACAGAAGATGAAACCTTATTTTCTAAATACCAAATTTGAAAAGTTAATAAGACATTTATTTAGAACCGGATAGAGTGGTTTTTAAATTATCAAAGGAGGATCAATTTCTAAATTTATTAAAGTTTTTATTGATCGAGACTAATTCACTAGGTACTCCTTAAATCCAAGTCCAAGGTTTTTTTAGGATTATCAAAAAGCCATTAAATTATAACACCGAACTTGGCTTAATTAAATCCAAGTCCAAAGTTTTTTAAGTTTTAAGCGAGGTAGAATTCTGCTTATAAAAGGGTTTCCTTTAGTTTTCCTTGTAGTTGTAGGAGTGTGACTTTATTATATAAAGACGCAATCTATAAATTCTGAGTGAATTTGTAGCAACGAAGATGGCGAGAGTAACAACAGACATAGCCTTATTCAAAAAATACTCTCTTATTGTTCTTTAAAAAGAGCAGCCAAGATGAGTATTCTCTCCAAAACATGGCTACAAGCTTGGTTGACTCTTCCCAACTTAAAATTTAGAGCTCGTTATTATAAGGATGCGGAAATAACAAACGCAATCGTGGAGAGATACAGCGACAATAATATCCCTATTGACAAGTTTGAATTTTTAAATTGTTTAGAGTCTTATTCTAGTGAAGTTATTTTCCCTTCGATTGATAAGTGGCTTGATGTCGCTCTTCAAAATGGTGTAAAAGATATAGTGTATGGAGATCCTACACGCTTGACTCGATCATACCCTTTGCCTGTATTCAAAATCTTGGCAGCAAAATCTTTAAGAGAGTTGGTTCTCGAGGGTTGTGATCTTATGTTGCGGGGTTCATTATCTAGTGGTGTGGCAAACTATCATTCTTTGAGAAAGCTTTCTCTGTCTTATGTAAGGTTTGACGACAACATGCTTCAAACTCTAATTAATAGTTGTCCCTTGATTGATATTTTCATCCTTGAGTATTGTCCCGGGTTGGAAAAGATTGAGTTGTTGAATCATCAAAAAGTCAAGTCAGTTTTCATTAGGACACGTGGAAACCAGCGTGTTAAAATTCAAGCACCAACTCTTGAACGCTTGTTTTGTTGTGGTGCTTTGGAAGAGTCTCCTATGTTGGATGTTGTCGAATGTCAGAATGTAAAATCTTTAGAGCTATGAGGTATGAATATATCCGATGGATTTCTCCAGCACCTTTTTTCTAGATCTCAATCTCTTGAGAGTTTAATATTAGACAATGTCTGTAAAGATTTAAGATTTGCGGGGTCAATCCCTAAGGATCGCGAGGACATAGCTGGAGAGGTTGATGCTTCAAATTTGGTATCACTTGAGTATATGGGAGAACAAATTCCTAATCTTAAATTGCAAAAGAGTCAAGCCAATTGAAGCGCTCACATATACGTCTTGATTTCTGGTACTGGAACAACTTCAGTGCTTCATGGTTCCGTAAATTGAGGATACTCTTATTAAGCTCAATCTCTTGGTCTCAAGTTTCCTTCATTTTCACAAGTCCAATGAGATCAAAATTAAAGATTTGCGATTTTACCACAGAGTTGCTATCCCCCAAGTAAACGTTTTAAATGTGAATATAAAGTCACGTAGTGGGCTCCCTACTTTTGTGGATGCTTTGCTATGGAGTTGTCATCCTAGGAAACTCATCCTAACCTCAACTGTTGAAATGGTTACATGTTTCACCGATCGTTTAAGGTATATGAAGAATATCAAGCCCTTGCACAGCCAATTAAAAGGTGTAAAAGACTATAAATTTGATTGTAAATATGAGCTCCTTACGGAGAAGGAGAAAGTTTATTTTTTTATTAGATTGGTGATGCAGTTAATTTATTAAATATGACTAAGTTGGTGATCTGTTTTCTCTCCAGTTCATATGAATTTGCAGTACGTTTTGTGAATATTCTGAATTTACGCGCATTTAATTATAAGCTCCTTGCTGCTGGAAATTAAACATCGTTGCTAATTGAGTCTTTTTTTTATGGTGAATAAATAACTTTATTACCAACGGGAAGTATTACAACATAAAAGAACCTGAGAACATGTGAGTCTACGGTCTCAGTAACCAACACCTATCTCCTACACATTCATCGGCATAGCCATATAGAGTAACCAACACCTATCTCGAAAATTAATTTTTTTTAAATATGTATTAAATTTTGAATATGCTTTGCAAAATTCCTGGCAGCGCCACTAATCTCAAGAATGAAGCTCCTATATCGCAGCTGTATTTCTTGGTTTGCCCTGGAAAATCCTTTGGCCACACATAGTATATGCAACCAGCTAATGTCATCGTATACATCTCTGCAACATCACTTTTTCGTTTGAGATTATATTGAATTTGATTGGTTAATAATGTGTAACTTAGTAAGAGGTGAGTACAAAGAGCTTTACTTCTTTTGGTCTTTGTCATCACCCAAAATATTTACTATTTCTTCTGCAGTCCTACAACTTGAGCATGTTATCGCCAGGTGATAGCTTTTAATTGCCATATCTAAGAATAATGAACTAAGGGAAGGTATCGCTGATTTCTTGTGACCTTTGTGTTAATGGTGCAAAAGTGTTGTGATTCTGTTCCATAACAAATTGAGGAAAAAAAGCCATAGTTATGAAATTTACTTCAGGATTAGAAGTATATAATCTGTAAAGTTTACTCTCGTCTGATCAAGTCGTTTGTCTTTCCATCATAGTAATAAAAAATAAGCATTTTGGGATTGTTCAAGGCTTGAAGGAAGCAGCAACCGAAATATTGAACCCCAAAAGAAAGGAAAAAGAAAAAACCAAAGAAGTTAATGAATAGAAGGACAAGATACATAAAACACCATGTGAATCAACTTACTTTCTAGGGGCCTTTGTTCTCCAACTGAGTTACCAGGGCCAATTTTATAGGTTGAATGCATACGGAGACATATAAAGTTGTCACGATTTCAGTTAGACACCTCAAGCAGGCCTTGATCCGATTGAACACATATCGTAAGCCCAAAGTGTACGAATCGGACACATTTAGCTGACATGGTTGATGGCGTGAGTTGCACCTGTATAAAAACTCTCCCTATCAACCATATATGACAGAGAAATGTATTTGATTGGTAAACTTTGGACCTACTACATATATTCAATCGGAACAAAGCCTACTTTAAGCGTCTATAGAGGTGGCTCTAAAGGCTTGGACAGTGAGGCCGCCGCCTTAGGCCCCTAAAATTTGAAGGCCCCAAAATAGAAGTGAACAAGTATGTATGTTTACGATCAAAGTGTATCCAGGTAGTGCTATGCCACATATCCGTTTGTGTACACACTTACTCTAATGTATCGGAGTACCATGAAGTAATAGGTTAAGTTTACCAAAATTAAATCAACTTAAATCTTGAAAATAGAAATGATGAGGAATGCTCTCTTACATACCTGGATAATGTTTAGGTATGTAAGAGGCCAGATGAAATATACCAATATTATGGGCTTACAATTATAAATCACCTAATGAAATATGAACGAATATTGCAGAGGTTCAACAGGGTCGGGCAGGTAAAGGTCGCCCTAGAGGGGGATAACGATGTACTAGGATAAAATTGGGTGGACTCTGATATAATAAGTTGAAGGACTGCAATTGTTCACTAACTACAAAGTGAACAAAAGGTTATGTAAATACCCTGGTCAAAAACCCTCATGGATATAGACAAATCTGGTTGATGTATCCTAGCGAATATTTTAGGGGATATAGTATATTTGCACGGGCCTAAGGGTCCCGAAAGCTCCGAGGGAAATATTCTTCAGTGCTGTTAGAAGTACATCGGGGATCAATACACTAGAGTAAATAATGTCTGGGTTTTCTGCTGAGTTTACACTTTAGAGTGCTATCTTGTATTTGTGTTCTGAGCTGGTTGAACTAGCGACTAAATCAGGCATGTAAATATTATTTTGATTTAGGTACTCATTTAGTTAATCACCATTTACAAAGTAAACCGCACGCTTACATTACATAAACTCTAACACAACAAAATTGTATTCCGAAGTATCTGAATACATAGTCTGAAAGATAGTACTTAGTATATTGAAGTATAATTGAGATGTGCAATTATCGCCTTATTATTCAAAAACCACTTATTGCATCAAAACGATTTACGTAGATAATATTTTTTAGAGGGCAAGTGTGCAAGAATATATCTAATGCTTTGAAAGCTCTGAATATTCTGTTATGATAAAGTGTGGCATGATTATGTTGATAAAACCACCACCTGTATGTTATCACATGCCACAATGACCGTATTTCAGCCGATTAGAGCATTTTATGTTAGTCAAAACATGGGGTAAATATTACTCCTGAAAATAGTTATTTATCTCCTTAAATAACTACGAGTTGATGAGGGATATGCGACATTATATATTTTAATACCCATCCTCATTAACACACAAAATAAATATTCACTTTATAAGTTACTCAGATACTCTAAATGGCTTAATCATCTCAAACTTAATAGCCCATCTACGTGTAAATGTGCACTAAAACAGGTACGAAACTCAGGCGAGTAGTATTATAAAGTGAACTGAAAACTGGTACGGAACTCGGTCATTGGCCCATGGATAGACTAAAATATCAACCTACCGGAGATACCTTATTCTTATTGAGCTACACTATTAATGATAATGGGTTGTAATGTACAGATTACTAAATAACGATGTGGGAATTTGTTACTAACCCTACATGCTAGGTTAATAGTCAAAAGATGTTATTAGCAAGTAATGTTGACCCGGTTTTAGTGGATAAACCCATGCTATATGTGATGAGTGTTAGATATTGACTTCTTATTTGTAACTATTGACCTATTAACCTTTTCTGACTATCAGAGTTAAACTATAGTCGGATCTACAACACTCATGACTCGCACTTTGAGGGTGTACATTCAACCTCAAAGTATATGTACTTGATCATCTGCGGTGGTCAAGTAAGAGGTATTTATGGATACTATTTCCTCAAATGCAATAGTTCTGCTAAGTGTAGTACATAGTATATCTATGTAAAATATAGTTCACTATGTACCAATATTGTAGCAATATAGCAATGAAATGAGTTTTAGGGTTTTTACAAGGTGCTAATGGCCATGGCAATGGAGAAGGAGGAGAGTTTTCTTGAATTTTGAAGAGACAAGGGAGTTTCCTTTTTCTTTCTTTGGGTTCTTGAATGAAATAATTCGAAGGCATAATTTTAAAGGAACTCGCGATGAACCTCCACACCTTCTCTGCGTCTGTGGGGAGTATAATAGCTACATGGCGAGACAAGTCAGTGAATCTCGCCTCATAGTCGGTCACAGACATATGGCCCTGACGGAGTCGCTCAGACTGACCCCGAAGCTCCTCTCTCTCAGAAGGTGGTATGTACATCTCCAAGAACAGATGTGAAAACTGATCCCAAGTCAAGGGAGGTGAACCTGCTGGCATGCTAAGAAGGTAAGCCTGCCACCATCTGCGGGCCTTGCCCTCAAGCTTAAAGGTGGTGAAGTCCACCCCATTGGACTCCAATATCCCCATGTTCCGGAGTCTATCCATCCCCTAGGTTGAAATGGATGAAAGACAATACAAGTTATCCGGGTGTAGGTGACAAATGGGTATAATGAATTCCAGTAGGTTGAGTAAGCTTTCACATTCTGTCTTTACAGGGAACACTAAAATAAATTAAATGGGCTTCTGATAAGTTAAGTGAGGATAGTTGATCCACCTCCTGTAATTGTTCATAATTTAGGATATCCTTATGGTTAAAATCCTAGAACAAATAGGTGTGTCTACTAACATATAATTGCTATCATTACCATTGGTTACGCTACTGGAAAACCCAGATATACTCATATTAGTGTGTGTTAGTAGGTATGTCTACTAACATAGTAACTCTCATCTTAATTATTTTAGACTAGTAATCAGGAATACTTATTGACATTTCTGAAATTACTATGATGCTAAGAGTAAATTACTAAAGCTAAATTAAGTGTAAAAGAAAGGCGTGGCGGTTCTATACAAATATCTATCAGCTGTGAATGATTACGTTGTTCCTATATGCTAAAATTGACCAGGGTAGGTATAATGCAAGACTAGATCCATATACACATGCTCGCAAAACTATGGGGTATTAGTTTAATTAATGATTGAAGGGCCGGCAATGATAG